GGTGTTATGACTCAGTTTAGGTCAAAAGGATACATTTTGAGTCCATCAACAGTAGAAGCCATATTTTCAGACAATTTCAAATAACAACAAAAAATAATTCAATGAAGCAACATGAAATGCTTCAACCACTGGGGTTATATTTAGTAAGTGGTCTCCTATGCTCATGCATTGAAGGCTACTTCCCACTTTCTTCTCTATCATGTTCAGTGTGGTCAGATTTATATTGAGGTCTTTAATTCATTTGGACTTGAGTTTTGTGCATGGTGATAGTTATGGATGGATTTTCATTCTTCTACAGGTTGACATCCAGTTATGCCAGCACCATTTGTTGAAGATGCTTTCTCTTTTCCATTGGATAATTTTAGCTTCTTTGTCAAAAATCAGGTGTTCATAGGTGTGTGGATTAATATCCGGGTCTTCAATTCAATTCCATTGGTCAACATCTCTGTTTTTATGCCAATACCAAGATGTTGAATAAATGGGATCTCCTTAAACTGAGAAGCTTCTGTAAAGCAAAGGACACTGTCAATAAGACAAAAAGGCAATCTACTGAATAGGAGAAGATCTTCACTAACCCCACATCAGACAAAGAACTGATTTCCAAAATATATAAAGAACTCAATAAATTAGACATTAAAATTCTAAATAACCCAATTAAAAATGGGGTACTGGACTAAACAGAGAATTCTCAATATAAGAATTTCAAATCGCCAAAAGGTACTTAAGGACATGTCCAACTTCCTTAGCTATCAGGGAAATGCAAGTCAAAACAACTCTGAGATACCATCTTACACCTGTCAGAATGGCTAAAATCAAAAACACCAATGATAGCTTATGCTGGAAAGGATATGGAGTAAGGGGAACACTCATCCATTGCTGGTGGGAATGCAAATTTGTGCAACCACTTTGGAAATCAGTGTAGCTGTTTCTCAGAAAATTGGGAGTCAACCTACCTCAGGATTCAGCAATACCACTCTTGGTAATATACCTAAAAGATGCTCAATCATACTACAAAAGCATTTGTTCAACTATGTTCATAGCAGCATTATTTGTAATAGCCAGAACCTGGAAACAACCTAGATGCTCCTCAATTGAAGAATGAATAAAGAAGGTGTGGTACATCTACACATTAGAGTACTACTCAGCGGTAAAATATAATGACATCTTGAATTTTGCATGCAAATGGATGGAAGTAGAAAACACTACCCTGAGTGAGATAACCCAGACCCAAAAATATGAATATGGTATTTACTCACTCATTAGTGGATACTAGCCATAAACATAGGACATTGAACCTATAGTTCATGATCCCAGAGAAGCTAAGTAATAAGGTGAACCCAAATAAAAACATATGTAGATCCACCTGGAAATTGGAAACAGACAAGATTGTGTGACAAAATTTGGAAGCGTGGGGGCAGGGAGTAGAAGGAAGGGGAAAAAGGGAAGGGGAGGGATGAAGAAAGCTTGAGGGAATGGGACAGTTGAGATGGAGGAAGGACAGAGATGAGAACAATAAGAGATATTTTGATTGAGGGAGCTATATTGGGGTTAGCAGGAAACCTGACTCTAGAAAAATTCCCAGGAATCCACAAGGATAATCCCAGCTAAGACCCTAAGCCATAGAGGAGAGGGTACCTAAACTGGCCTTGCTCTGTAGTCAGACTGATGATTATCTTAAATATTACCTTAGAACTTTCATCTAACAAAAGATAGAAACAGAGACAGACACCCACATCAGAACACTGGACTGAGCTCCCAAGGTCCAGTTGAAGAGCAGAAGGAGGGAGAATATAAGCAAGGAAGTCAAGATCATAAGGGGTTCACCCACTGAGACAGTGTGCCTGAACTAATGGGAGTTCACCAACTCCAACTGGACTGAGAATGAACAAGCATGGGATCAAACTACTCTCCCTGAGTGTGGTTGGCAGTTGGGGCCCAATGGCAATGGCACTGGGAGTTGTTTCTACTGCATGTACTGGCTTTTTGGGATCCTAGTCTCTTTGGATGTATACCTTGCTCAGACTGGATATAGAGGGGAGGGCCTTGGACTTCCCACAGGGCAGGGTGCCTTGCCCTCTCTTAAGATTGGAGGGGGATGGGGGAAGAGGATGTGTGAAGGGAGTGGGAAGGAAGTGGGGGGAGGGGAGGAAGCAGGAATTTGGATTGGTATTTTTTTAAGTAATAAAATAAGAAAAATGTGATCTCTAAATCACAAACCACATCTTCTTTAATATAGTGTTCTGCAACTTACCACAAATGATACTTTGTTTAGAAATTCAAACCAAGAAAGTTCAAAAAAGTTGATAATCAAATATAGCCATAAATCTCACTTATTTATAAAAATAAGCCTTTTGTACCTGTCTGGTTTTCTTACATTATTGTGTGTTTTGTCATTGAAGTACTAGCAACACAAACAATTTTTAAGAACGTTTTCTTTTTTCTTAATTTTCACAGAATGAATATGCATTGTCTCCTAAGAGCATAGTACAAGGCAGGTCATAAATTTATTCCTTGCATTAAGTGTAACATTTTACCTACATAAATTCATAAGAATATATTTTATCAAGACATTGTATAAATGTTATGTATAGTTTTGAAAACAAGACTTGTTGACATCAGTATTGTGTTTTAAGTACTGTTGGCCCTCTACTTAGTTATTATAATTTGATGAATTGTATATAACCACCATTAGTCACAATATAATTTTGATAACCTTACCTTTGCTCACATAAAGACATTCTCTGTACCATCTTAAAAAAAAAGAAAGAAAGAAATGCTTCAACTAATACTGAAACCCAGTGAACACAATCAACTATTTTCATTGTTCCAAGAGTAGAAACAAAACATGGAAAAGAAGTATTTTCCATAATAATATGAAGTCATTTAATTATGTAAATTTGTTTGATTTGTCATATTAAAATCATCTGTGACTTTAAGGCCATATCAAGTCAATCTATATATTCAAGTATTTGTCTCCATGTAAACTCCAGTGGAAGTAATCAGTTTTTTGCCAAGAACTACTATATTCATCATGTGCTCTGCAATTACCATGGGTCATTTGGGGATAAAATAAAATCAAATGTCCAGTAGAGAAGACCTTTGTATGTTAAAGTATGCATGAGTATAATGAGGAGGTGAGGTGTGACATAAATTAATGGCATAGATCAGCAAAGAACATATTCTTTGTATGCACAAGTCCCTGACTTCAGTTCTCAAAGTAAAAGAAATAGAGAGCTAAGCAGAGGATGGAGGGAGGTGGAAGAAAGGAAGGAACAAAAGGAGAGAAACAAAGAAAGGGAGTGAGTCTGGGAAGAAAGAGAATGAGAAATTCTATAATTTAGAAAGTAGAGGAAGGAAGCTCATAAGTTCAAGGTCAGTCTGGATCACTCAGTATTCTGTTTAAAAAAGGAGGAAAAATGAAAGAACACATAAAAACTGTGGATCACACTGGAGCACTGGACTGAGACCCCAAGGTCCACATGAGGAGCAGAAGGAGGGAGAACATGAAAAAAGAAGTCAGGACTGCCAGGGATGCGTTCACCCACTGATACAAGGGGACCGATCTAATGAGAGCTCACCAAGGCCAGCTGGACTGGGACTGAATGAGCATGTGATCAAACAGGATTCTCTGAATGTGGCTGACATGGGGGCTGACTGAGAAGCCATTGTCAGTGGCACTGGGTCTTGTTTTGTCTGCATGTACTGGCTGTTTGGGATCCTAGTCTGTTTGGATGCTCACCTTCCTAGACCTGGAGGGAGGGGGGAGGGACTTGAACTTCCCACAGAGCAGGAAACCCTGACTGCTCTTAGGACTGGAGAGGGAGGAGGAGAGGGAGTAGGGGGAATGGGAGGGTTTGGGGAGGAGGGGAGGATGTGGAAATTTTTATAAATAAATAAATAAGTAAATAGAAAAACTGTGGTTCAATATTTAAAATATATTTTTATTTATTATTTGAGATTTTACATATGTATACAATATATTTTGATAACATCCACGTCCTACTCCTCTCTCCAACCCTTCCCATATCCCCGTACTATGTCTGCCTCCCAAATATATGTCTCCTGTAATTTCTTTGAATAGCTGAGTCTAATTAGTGTTGGCTATATGCACATGTATAGGGGACCATGAACAAGGCCAGGGGTCAAGTTTCCAAACAGGAATAACCCTCCCTTCACTTGTAGTCCATAATTACTGATAGTTCCTCAGCTAGGAACGGGACACTATAAGTCTTTTTCACCTACACACTGGACTCTTTTTTTTATAAACAGATTGGTCCATTAGCTCAGGCTTCTTATTAATTCTTTTTTTAAAGTTTATTAAATTATGAAAGTTTCCATTTCCGCCCTTCCTCCCAACACCCTCCCACTCCCCCCTCCCCCTCCTCCTCCGTCTCCATCCCTAAGAACAGTCAGGGCTTCCAGCCCTGTGGGAAGTTCAAGTTCCTCCCCCCTCCCTCCAGGTCCCACACTGGACTCTTGACTGACTTGATCTCATGAAGGTCTTGTATAGGCAACCATAGCCACTGTGGATTTAAGATTGTGACAGTCATGTTATGCCCAGAAGACAAAGTTTCCCAGTGGTCCCTGCAACCTCTGTTTTTCATGACTTTCTGCCCCCGCTTCCATAAAGTTTTATGACTCTGCAGAGGCTGCTTCACATTTTTTGATGCTAAAAATTAAATATAGTGTATATCCACCTCATTTGCCAAGGGGAATTACTTCCACAGAAGTATCAAACTTAAGAATATTCCTTTAGTGATGGTGGGAAACTCACAACATATATATTCCAAAATAAACGATTCTTCAAAAATCCCAGTCATTCTCTAAATGAAGTAACAATTAACAGAAGTTTCTGATCCAAGGATGGGAAAAGTAGGAAATGGCAATGGATTACAGATGCCAGAAGAAATTAAGAGAAGAACTTGAATTGTATGACAAAAGCAAGAACAATTGTAGGAGATCAAAGATTAAAATTTTATTATTCAATCCGATCAATAGATTGCATTGGATAATCCAAAACATTGACTACTACAAAACAGATATGTTATGAAGGTAAATCCATTAGTCTGTTTCTAGTTACACTCCCTAACAGGATTTTTAGAGCTGTCTTTATGTCTTTGTTCCTCAGACTATAAATGAACGGGTTTAGCATGGGGGTGACCACAGTATACATCAATGAAGCCATTGCAGTAGCATGTGAGTTTTGGGTCACTGCAGAACTGAGGTACACTCCCAGGAGGGTACAATAAAATAAAGAGACAACTGAAAGGTGAGATGCACATGTGGAAAATGCTTTGTACTTCCCCTGAGCTGAGGAGATTGCACGTATGGAGGACACTATCTTAGAGTAAGAGTAAAGGATGCCAGAGAGGGGACCCACAGCCAGAAACATGGCTGTAATGTAAATTACCATGTCATTAACAAAGGTGTCAGAACAGGCATGGTGTACCACCTGATTTAGTTCACAGAAAAAGTGAGGAATTTCCAAGTTTGTGCAGAATGACAGCCGTAGTGCCAAAAAGCTGTGTAACAGGGAATTCAGGATACCTATGATCCAGCATGCTAGAATCAGCAATACACAGTGTCTTGTATTCATAATGACCATGTAGTGTAGGGGGTGGCAGATAGCCACATAGCGGTCATAGGCCATCACAGTCAGCAGAAAGATATCTAACCCTGAAAAAAGCAATAAGAAGTACATCTGGGTGATGCAACCTGCATAGGTGATGACTTTTCTCTGTGTCTGGATGTTCACCAACATCTGTGGGACAGTGGTAGAGGTGAAGCAGATGTCTACAAAGGACAGATTGGAGAGGAAGATGTACATGGGTGTGTGTAGGTGGGAGTCCACAATGATGGCCATGATGATGAGTAAGTTGCCAAAGACAGTCACAAGGTACATGGAGAGAAAAAGTCCAAATATGAGAGGTTGAATTTGAGGTTGATTCTCTGAAAACCCAAGAAGAAGGAATTCTGAAAGTTGAGTGTCATTTCCTTGTTCCATGAGTTTGATATGCCTACCAAAAGAAGAATTTGGGAAGTATTCAGTCACCGACAAATAACTTGACATCAATGCTCTCTCCTTCCTTCCTTCTGGTCACTTATATCATGGACCACTGGACCCTTTTAATGCTGTTCATATATTCATGGGTTTGAAGTTATCTACTGATGCTAGGGCTTGGACAACCTACCAGAGACCACACCCTTGAAGAAAACTGATTCTTATCAGCAGCCATGATTTCTCAGTTTGGGATGAGACCTTGCCATCCCTTACCTCTTCATGGAGGCAAGTTAAGTGGTTTTATCTTGTGCAGGAAATTTGAAGGTTACCATGGGTGCTGTGAGTTCATTAGTTCATTGGCTTTGTCATATCTAGAAGCCACGATTCCACAAAGTCCTCCTTGTTCTCAGCATATTTCTATCTGTTCTTTTTTCGGTGATGTTCCATGAGACTTGTGGGGGGGCCTGTGCTGTGGAGGCTCATTTAGGGCCAAGTACTCTGTGGGCACATATTCTCTACACCTTGACTAGTTATGGGTTTTATATTATCCTCTGTTCACTACAAAAAGAAGCTTCTTTGATGGGAACTAAAAACTTTGCTGATTTATGGGCATACATATAAGTACTCGGAGGAAAATTTGATGTTCATTGAACAAAGCAATAGCAGGAAGTTCTTACTAAAGCCCATGAGTTGCCCAAACAACATATTCTTGGCCAGACAAGAATATGTCAAGAACTATACCATTTAAGCCTACAAGCCCAAAATTGTGGAAGCACACATTTTATTTTTCAATTTTATATAAATCCTCTGAGAAGATTCCTTGTGTTATTTATTTCTGAATAGTAACGTGTGTGTCATACTCAACCTCTGCCCAAAGTTCACGTTTTAAATGAGCTTTAGGATTATAACATTCTCCTTGTTCCCCTTGCTCAATTACAGACACCTCTCCATGGTCTCTTTAGCCCACACACCTGGAATGGTGACAGTGATAGGTATAGCTGTTATCCTTCATTAAAGAAGTTTGTTTTTAAAGTATACAGAAAATATTTCAAAAAGCTGCAACTGGTCAGAGAACAGCTGCCTGTGGGTTCCCAATCCAAGAGGTACATTTAAAACTACACCTATGTCTTAAAGAACATCACAGGAGATGGGGAGGAAAGGTTGTAAAAACCAGAGGACTAGAGTTTGCTGTGTTTTTAGATATGACAGGAGAACAAATACCTGACTATTCAAGCCCAAATGCTCAGTTCTAAAATCATATACATATAAGCAGTAATAAATAGGCTCAACAGGTTGCATCTATATGTGTTGACTAAGGTTTCTGTCTCACCTGGTCCCACAGCTGTTCCATCCCAAAGAAACACACAGAGGTCTACATTAATTATAAACTGCTTGGCCTATTAGCTCAGGCTTCTTATTGACTCTTTCTTAGCTCTTAAATTAGCCCATAATTTTTGTCTGTGTTAGCCACATGGTTTGTTACCTTTCTCAGTGAGGGTACTATTGGTGCTTCCTCTGTGTCTGGGTGACAACTGCAGACTTACTCTTTCCGCTTCCCAGAATCATCCTGTTCTCGTTGCCCCACCTCTGCTTCCTGCCCGATTGCCCTGCCTATACTTTCTGCCTGTCTACTGGCCAATAAGCATTTTATTAAAATACAAGTGACAAGGTACAGAAAAACTCTCAGAAAGCTAAGGAATGGGGTGGATCCAGCTGTCAATGCCATGACTTTAATCTTAGCCACATCACTTAGCAAATTAAAGACTCATGTGGTCAGAAAAAGAAAGATATATAGTAAAGATAGATTCAGATGAAAAAAACCTTTCAATGGTTTATAGTATGTTTAAAAATATATGTAGACTTGGGAGGGGAAAAAAGATAATGCCCTTAAAATAGAAAAGAAAAATAGTAGTTGAGTGTGGCAGCACACACCTTTAATCCCAACACTTGGGAGGCAGATCTCTGTGAGTTCAAGGACAGCCTGGTCTACAGAGTGAGTGCCAGGACAGCCAAAGATACACAGAGAAACCTTGTCTCAAAAAATCCAAAAATTAAAAATAAAAAGAAAAGAAATATAGTTTAAAATAAAGCCACATAAAGATGGAAAATACACAGAGATTCTGGATACTGCATGCTATTATGTTTTCTTTGATTATAAATGCTACTGGATTAATCCAACATATATATTTTGAAAATTCCTTGACTTTGAAAGTCAAAAGATGTTACTTTGGAGAAGAGATTTTGATTTTGTTTCCATAGGAAATGAGAGGCTGTGGATTCATTCTGAATTAAGAAAAATCAGGTTTGATCAAGGAAGACCCTCACCCTGAGAAATCTCCCATAGAAGTGGGTAGCCCAGATGCCTGAGTTCTACAACCAGAAGAGCTTCAAGACTGCTGGCTGAGATGATCAACCCTCACAGAATATTCTAGTCAGGACTTCATCATAACTAAAATTTTTCTTTAGGTCCCCATAAGATTATCAGCACCATCAATCAGCAAAAAGTAGCCTGGGAAACTATACCCACATCCCCCCCAAATGGATTATGGGTGTTTGCCTTTGTTTAGAATGTTGGTTACAAGTTGTTATGGATAATGATCAGGAGAAAAGCTAAACAAAGGAGATTCAATTCAGAGTTCTTGTTTTGAAAAAAATGGGGGAGAGGAGAAGTGCTGTAAGACAATAGTCTGTACCCTGTCCCTTGTATTTTAATAAAATGCTCATTGCCCAGTAGCCAGGCAGGAAGTATAGGTGTGGTGACCAGGCAGGAAGTAAAGGCAGACAATGAGAGCAGGAGGATTCTGGAAAGAGGAAAGAGTCAGTCTGCAGCTGTCACCCAGATGCAGAGGAAGCAAGATGAGAATGCCTCACTGAGAAAGGTACCAAGCCACATAGCTAACACAGACAAGAATTATGGGCTAATTTAAGATGTAAGAGAGTTAATATGTCTGAGCTAGTAGGTCAAGCAGTTAATAATTAATGTAGACCTCTGTGTGTTTCTTTGCAATGGAATGGTTGCGGGACCAGGTGAGACAGAAACCTCAGTCAACATATATGTGTTTTCACACACACACACACACACACACACCAATAATAATGCAAACAAGCCATGATTTTGACAGAGATTAGAGTGGGAACATGTGAGGAGTTGGAGAGATTGGGGGAGAAGGAAATGGTGTAAATATATTTTATTAAACAATCTTAAATAAAAACTTTAATTGAAAACCTTTTGAAGCACTAAAGAAATAAAGTCTAAATATGGCTGGTATCCAGATACTATCTATATTATAAGAAAATGTGAAGACAAACAAAATTCTTACAATAAAATAAAGGAGATAAGGTATAAGCAAAATTTTTTCAAGTTTGAATTATATTAGACAGAGTCAATGCTGTGTTCATAAACTTTCCTTGAATATAATAAATGTCTGAGATAGTCAGATTATAAAGAAGAAGGGTCTATTTGGGCTCACATCCCCTGGTTCCTTGGCCCTGTGCCTTTTATTCTTCATGGAGGCAGCCCAGCGTGGTTGGAGCATGCAGTCAGACAAAGCCACTCATCCTAGGGCTTGTCATATGACTTATCAGATAAGAATGCTTGCCCAAGGGCCTGTGTTCAGATACTATTACACATATTTTTAAAAACAGACCAGGCTTGTGCCCCTAAGCCCGGTGCTATAGAAGAAAGATACAGAAAAATTTCTAGGACTTCTAGGTGGACAATACAGCTCCAGATTCAGTAACAGAGTCCAAAATAGAGGAAAAGGGGAGCAGTGATAAAGCAGGGTATCCAAATTTCTCTACTACACAAACACAGTGCGCACACATACACACACATACACACACACACACACACACACACACACATACACACACACACACACGTACACAATGCCCATAAATTTAAAAAAATGGAGAAGAAAGAAACAAGGGCGGGAGAGAGGGAGAGAGAAGAGAAGAGGGGGTAACAGAGAGGGAGAGGGAGAGAGACCCCCTACTATATGGCCACAAAACAAAATTGAAAGAAAAGAGACTGGGTACAACAGTGTCCACTTAGTCGAGCCCAATGACCTAAAGACTTTTACAAGGCCTCCATCTTAACAGTTCTACCACCTGCTAATAGCAGCACTTGGGAACTCAACATTTAACACACATGCATTTTGGGGACACTCAAGGTGAACACTCCAGCAAGAGGAATACAGATAAAGAAATATAACAACAGGCAACAGTTGATGGAGAAAATGTCTTTCAGAGGTTCTCTGAGATCACTGGGCAAGGTTACATTCAGACAGCCATCAAGGAAGACACATCGATCCCAAGAATGCATCTGGGATTGTTCATACAAGGATGAACATACCTGCAAGGCCTCAAGGAAGATGTTTCTTGCAATTATTTAATTTGGACATGAAAGTAAATGCAGTAAAATCAATTAGTGGGAGGGAGAACATTTATAAAAGTTATCATGAAATCATGGACACAGCAGACTGAGGCAGAAGATATCATGAACATGAGAATTTGATAACCTGGAAAATAGTGAGGCCCCCTATCTAAATTTACTTGAAAAGAAGTTTGATCTAACTGTGTGACAGTATTGTTCCATCATGGTAAATACAAAAAAAAAAGACCTAAGAATCTCATTGGTGCAGAAACTTCTAGACACAGGTATTGCTATGTTTGTACATTAGTAAATTGACTCCATGGACCCTCTTCCTTGAAATGAAGTACATCTAACTTTGTTCCACAGACTGCCTTGGATTATGGCCTATGCAATTTGCTCAAGACTTGAATAGATCGCCCTCAATATTCCCTACACACACACACACACACACACACACACACACACACACACACAGTAGTGACGGCCTGTAAATACTGTGATGCTTAGTTTTCAATTGTCAATTTGACACACTTAGAATTACCTGAGCTAAGCATCTTAACTGAAGAGTTAAGTAGATCAGCTTGGCTTGTGGATATGTCTATGGGGGATTGTCTTGATTATTAGTTGATATGGAAAGATGTGTCCATTAGGAATGG